CTTTTTTTTTGGTCACTGAGGCGATTTTCTCAAATTAATTTTAGGTGTCTAAAATTAATTTTAGGTTTTTTAAAAAAATTTCTTTCAAAATAGGTATTTAACGTTTCTAATATTATATTTTTAGGTATTTAAACTGTTATCGTCGTTAAATTCAGCAATTATCTAAAATGTGTCACGCTTATAGAATTTTAAAATATTTATTTTAAAAAAAATATGTTAAAATATTAAAAAAAACAATAATTTTCTGAGATTACAAAAAAACTCTAAATTCTTTAAAATCTTAATTTAAATCTTTTGCTACCGCCGATCGCCGCCACTGACTAAAATTTCAGCGAACCTCAAAGGCTGAAATCCCCCTCTCCAACCCCTAATTGCAGCGGCAAAGTCGATGATTACATCGTGAGAAACCCTTTCGATCGGTCATGAAATATTGCATTTACACGACAATTAGATGTTCAACAGTCTTGAAAGTAACGAGTTTGCGATCGTTGGATGGTTTTTTGACACAACCTTGCGGTCGCAAAATCCTTTTGCTACCGTCGGTCACCACCAACACCGCCAACCGACTAAAATTTCAGCGATGTGCGACCGACCAAAACCTCAAAGTTTAAAATCCCCCTCTCCAACCCCTAATTGCGTCTGTAAAGTTGATTATTGCATCGTGAGAAACCCTTTCGACCAATCGCAAAATCTTGCATTTACACGACAGTTAGGTGTTGAGTCAATCGTGAAAGTAATGGGTTTGCGGTCGTTAGTGGTTTTCTGGCACAACATTGAGTGTTTGGCGGATTGACGACGTTGATGGCAATTGATAATGTTAAAGGATTGAAATTAGGGTTTTAAGAGATTTTGGATTTTTTATATACAATTTTGGACTTTTTTCTTTAAAAAATTATAATTTTAAGTTTTTTAATTTAAATAAAATTTTAAAATTTTATAAAGACGGCACATTTCAGTTAACGACTGATTTTAATTACGTTGACGATCCATACACCTAAAAGTATAATGTTGAAAATGTTAGTCACATATTTTAAGTAAAAAAAATAGACACCTAAAATTAATTTTTGGTATAATTTAAATATTTATTTTTGTATTAAACCAAAAATAAATAAATTTTTTAAATCTCTAAACATTAATCAATGACCCTAATTTTTTTTATTTATATCTTTATTGAATTTTTTCCCATAATTAAGATTTTATATTATTGCTACTTAGAATGACTATTTATTAAAATTAATTTGCTAATTAGATTAGATTTATTTCATCGATGGTTGATGATTAACTTTTTTTTTTTTAATTTGAATGATGAATTATAATCAATGAGAAGATAACCGTTAAGAGATTTTAGTAAATTATAATAAAATTATATGTAATCATATTTTATTAACCAAACATATATATCAAAGTTAAATTCTTTATAATTTTGATAAGATATAATAATTATACTTCAATACAATTATTTAATAACGTTGACACACCTTTAAAATTTTGAAATTCCAACATTGGCTTTTATGATGTTTCTCTTATCTTATTTTTTTTTCATAACAAAAATAATGTTGAAATTTAGGATAAGAATAAAGTGTCAAGTAACCAAGTGGGGGCAACAAATCAACAAGTAGATCTTCTATGTCTCCTCTTATGAATGCTATTCTATCAACTATAACTCACTTGTCATCTCTCACTCAAAAGAAAATTTCAATTTCCAATTTGATTCTTTATTCATATTTTACATGAATGTTCTACACATTTGATTGATTTTATTTATTTATTTATTTAAGGGTGATTATATGATAGTAGTTATTCGAAAGATTTCAAATGCTCAAACACTTCTGACATACTATATGTTTGAATCCGGGACATCTAGGGATAATAATTATCCCTTTAACCACTGAGGTAGTTTGATTCATATTAATATTTAATTAATTTAATATTATAAATTAAATTAGTACAACATTATCCTAACATTTTAAATCTTATAAAATTGCATAATTAGGGTTACTTTTTCTTCAAATTACATACTTATCCAAATAATATAATAGAGGAGGGACAATGTAAATATATATTTTGGCCGTGTGGAGATGGAAAATGGGTGAGCCAACTCAGCAGTTTTGTGGATGAGGTGGGCGGAGGCAACTCGGTTGATCTGGAAACAATTGTTTCGGTTTTGTTTTATTCACAAAATTCAATGACAGAGAATTTGGATTGGGATGCCACGTGGAAGATAAGAGATGGTCGGTGATTGTAGGTGCTGACTCATTTCCAAGCAAAATTCTGTACCTCCGTGCCCACCATTTTCAATCATTCAAATTAAAAGTACGTATTTGATGCAATAGACTCGAGCCGAGTTTAAAATATGTTAATTAAATCAATTAATTTTAAATTTTTGTTCTAATTTTTTATTTTATTTTATTTATTTAAATTTAATTATAATTTTTATAATATTATAATACAAATTATTTCATTTTAAATATTGTTTACTAATCACGATATATATATATATATTCATATCCTCTAGAACTTGAATTATTAGAAATTTAACACCTACATCCACGCCATTTAAGTTATAAATGAGTAACAATAATGAATAATTTTGTTTAGTAGTAAGTTAATGAAAAACATCACAAATGAGTTTAATTCATAGAAAAAGAAACATTTTTACGTAAAGTGTTAAGAAGTTTGATATTATTTAAGCAAATGGAATTTGAATTCTTATATATGTAGAAAATTTCAGCTGAGAGATTCATTTACTAAAGTTAAGAGTGCGACCTAAATTGGTTCCGATTAATCGGGATGAAACCTCATGAACCGGACCACAAATAAAAAAGCACCATATAAAAGAGGAATTTATATATGTTTTGATTTAAAAGAGGAATCCAGCATTAAATTAAAAGAGGAATTTATATATGTTTTGGTTTAAAAGAGGAATCCAGCATTAACAAGTGACTAAGCAATTAGCTACGAAATACATTGAATACCATATAAAAGAAAATGAAATCTTTAATAAAAATACATTACAGTTGAAATCAATCATAACCTCAAGCTAATTAATTTAAAGGGAAATGAATGGATAAGAAAGTTCAACAATGAAGACAAGTTAGGTTGTTTGGATGTCCATTGTCTTCAGATACCAAAATTGCCAACAAAAAACATCACAAGTTGTCGAGTAAACATCACAAGTTCAATTGTAGCATTAAATATATATATATATATATATATTATTAAACTAAGGTGATTACAAAGTAATATATTTTCTAAGTACTTTAGAACATTTGACAATGAACACTCGACCACTCTTGTAATTGATGGTACTCGAACCATGATCTCTAAAGACAACAATAATCTTTAACCACTAAAATAATTTGGTTCATGCTTTATAAAATTAACAGTGCATAAAGAATAAATTAATAATTTTATTTATATCAATGTATAATATTCATTATAAAATTTTCTTACCTACCATATTTTGCGTTAAGGTTTAATTGTTTTCCTACATTCTTAAGATTTTTTTTAAAAAAAAATTAGAAAGCATATTTAGTCAGTTAATTAAATTATTCATATGTGTTTCCTCACATTTTTTAGGTCACAAGTTTTAGATCAACTAGCAGCATTTTATTTTCTTTTTTTAGAGTCCTCCTTTCCCCTATCCTCCAAGTAAGTTTAGAATTATATGAAGTTTTATATATATATAAAAAGAATTCTTGAAAATTTATTTTGTTATATATTTTCTGTATTTTTAATTAAAGAATTTATGTTTAATGTTTTTATTCAAGTTCAAGTTTATTAAATGTCAACTTTTACGAGCGAACAAGAACTAATCAAATTGAACTCAAATTTTTTTTAATCATTTGCTTCTATATTTCAAGCAGATAAATATTAAGTTAATGCATTAATCAATATAAAACCATGAAAAAAAAGCATTATTATTAATGCTCCCATCCCATGTGTCTGTGACTTTAAGAACCGCGGGATGGGCATGGAAATGGCCACCTTTCAGAAACAATGGTCCGATTGTTTGACTTCGCATTCTATGTGTTATTGTTTATAATTATTCATATTGGAGAGGAAGACTTTTGTATAATAAAAAAATGGATAAAATATATAAATAGTCTTTCAACTATAGAATGTTGGTATGTTAAGTTTCTCGATTATTAAAAGTTACAAAATAATCCTCCAACTACAAGATATTGTTTTGTTAAGTCTCTCAATTAATAAAAGTGACAAAATGATTACTAAATTATTCATATGTTTCAAACTCGTACTTATTTGTTAAAAAATTGATGATCGTCTGAGTTGGATGTTAATTTATTAATTGTGATATGATCAAATCATATTTTAACAAGGTCTACTAACATAGTCGTTATCTTTAAGCATTGGCTCGTCATCATATTGTAAATGAAAAGTCAATCCACAAAATTAACGTCTGAGATCATATTTTATTATATCTCAATCAACAAGTTAAGGTCCAGATTAGACAACCATCAATTTTTCAACGCAAAAAAAGATAAATTTAGAACATATAAATAGTTATATAAACATTTTATAACTTTTAATAGCCGAGAAACTCAACAAAACACTATCCTTTAATCAAGATACTATTTTGTAATTCTTAATAATTAAAAGACTCACCAAAACATTATAGATCATTTATATACTTTATCCTAAAATATTTACTATATTAATTTATAAAAATAAAATGTCATATCTATCAACTCTTTGAAAAGTTCAATATTTTAAGAAGTCTCATAATATTACATATTCAGGTTTGTACGGCTGTTAACAAATCTTAAATTTTAAAATCCTAAACTTTAAATCTAAATCTTAAATCATAAACTTTCAAATTTTAAATGAAATAGATAACACTAAAATAAACAGAATCGTGCAAACACAACCATTGAATCAGATAATAACCCAATTTTAGAAAAAAAATTATTCTTTTTTATATAAAAGAACACTAAATCTATTTGTCAAAAAGGAAAAAAGGAACAATGACAGCATAACAGATACAACAGGAGATAAGCTTCTCACAATACCAAAAAGAAAACAATGGGCAGTAAAAATTGAATACAACAAGTTTTACCTCTGATTTGTATCAGCAGTTTATGGCTTTTCCGCAGCCATGTTTTATATTCGAAACGAATTCTTGTCTCTCTTAGATGGCTTTGAATGTGAATGACCATCACCTGACATGTTCTTCTTTCTCCTTGGCGCACCGACGCCGGAAGAGTCTATCAAAGGGCCAGACCATGTCTGGATTGGTGGTTTATTTGAAAACGAGAAACTCGTGGTACTAAACGGAACGTCTGGTGGATCAAAACCGGGATCTATCGGATGTGCAGAACCTAGAGTATAACCAAGAGTTCCATCCTGGTGTGGAGGTGGAAACTTCTCACTCTTACTCTTGGCATTTGCGTGTGTTATCATTCGACGTCTCTATTTCACCAAAAAAGTTGCAGTAAATCAGTAATTAGTCATTTGTTTCAGCACCAGCTCAAGTAGAGAAAATCGTAAATCAAGGACAACTGCAGCTGAATACTAGAATGGAGAACAAAGGATACTATCCTTGTTGATCATAAATCAATGGAAAGTGCAAGGTCTAGAGGGAAAAGAGGGGAACTACTACATACATCAAGGTTGGTTTGAAGCTCAGCATTTGCTTCTGGAGCAGGAATTGCCTGCATGGCTCGATCACGTGGACGAGCTTTCTTCACTCCATCTGCATTGGCTCTTCCAGCAGCTCGCAATCTACAATCATGAAGCTCATGTCATGTCAGTTCCAAAGAGAAAGGAGGGAAACTGCTATCAAATTCATTACTTCAAGAACATATGCAGTGTAAAATAGGTTTCCTCGGAATAGAATTTAGAAACAAAGCCAACTTGGCTTACAATGTCAATCAGAACTTAATGATATTAAATATCATGTACCTTCTAGCTTCTGCGTCCCGTAGCTTAGCATCCATCTCCTTGCAAGGAGGGTATTTTGGAAGGCTGGAAGGATCACAAGCATAAGGCTTGGTCATGAAGAACTGCAGAAAACATGAACAGTAACAACGTCACTTTCGACCATAAATAATTTAAACCAATCACTGGTTATCCCACAAAACAATACAGGACTGACTAAAACTCAACAATTCTTGACAAAAAGGATGAAAGCCGACATCCTTCTATGCAAATTTCAGCCACGGGTGAAAAATGTAAATCAACAAATAAATTCTCCTCTGATAAGGAATCATACTGAATATTCTAAATGCTGCTCCCTAGAGCTATGAGATTATGATCAAACAAGCAAGGTAAAAACTAGAGTCAAGAACTAAGGAGATGAGAAATATATAATGGTAGAGTAAAAGCTTACTTCACTGTTTAATGCTGCTGTAGCTGTCAGACGCTCAACGGGGTCAATTGCCAGAAGAGTATCAATCAACAGCAATGATGATGGTGGAAAGTCCTTAAAAGTTTCAGCTATACATCGTTTATAAGATTGTTGGGGCTTAAATATGGTTGCATGTGGCAACTTTGACTTTTTCCAATATTCATCTGAAGGAGAGCCACATAGTTTGAATATCTTGTGTAATTGCTCCACCTAAACAACATTATTGACAAATGTTAGCAGATACAACTGGTAGCATGCGCAGAACAATTATACTCTAATTAGAAGCTAAACAATAAGAAAAAGCTGACCAATTATACTCTAATTTTCAAAACCAAGTAAATTGAATCATGTTAGTATTTGCTTCCCAGGCTGCTTCATGGTCATTGAGAAAGCCAGTGGAACTTTCAAGATATTCCCAATTACAAAACAACTACAATGGAGTCATCAATATGATGAAAACAGGGGATCAAATTATGAAGTTGAATAAACAGCAGGCTTAATTTTTCATGGAACTAGATGCTGCTGAACAACTAAGTCTTATACCGATGAAGGTGATAAAGACGGCTGGAAAATCCAAAAAGAATGGAGGATCGAATATCATAGAGAACTAAGAAAAGATGACGTGAATCTCGAGTACCTTTCACTATTATAGTCAAATACTAACCGTGGACTTCAATACAGTTAGTTTTATCTGGTGTGAGTGGTGATAGTAAGTGCAGAATGGATCATTTTGCAAATATAGATAAAAAGGAGTAAGTTGGTGTTGTGAAAAGTACATTTTATTTCTATTTAACCAAAATCTAGAGCAAAATCAATGTGCTAATTAAATAGAGCATGCCTCTGCAAAGTAAAAAGCTACAATAATGTGCTTTCCAGTATGGAATAGAATAGCACAAGGAAAAAACATGTTTTTAGATTCGTGAAAGTTAAGTTACCTCGGTACGACCAGGCATGATCGGCCTTCCAGCTAATAACTCGGCTAGAATGCAACCAGCACTCCAGAGATCCACACCAATGCCATAATCGGTGGCACCAAGAAGGAGCTCTGGAGGACGATACCAAAGTGTAACCACCCTACTAGTCATTGGCTGCTTGTGATTAGGATTGAAAAATGAAGCCAAACCGAAATCCGCTATCTTAAGAACACCACTGTTGTCGATAAGGAGATTCGAACCCTTAATATCACGATGTAATACGTGACGGTTGTGACAATGTTCAAGCCCAGATAACAACTGATGCATATAACACTTCACCTGCCCATATCAACAAAAATAAGAACACTGTTCACAACTTAATTCAGAACCAGCCAAACCAATGGCTAAGCAAAATATTTTACCTGAGACTCGGTGAACTTTATAGCCGGACTAGCAGCGAGTCCGGCCAAATCATGCACCATATACTCGAATACGAGATACAAGCTACACGACATCCTCGAAGTCACCAACCCTTCTAATTTTATCACATTAGGATGATCCAAACGGCGTAAAATCTTAATCTCCCTAGCCATGAACTTCACACTTTCCGGCTCCAAATTATCAAATCGAACTTTCTTTAATGCAACAATTTTCCCAGTCAACGTATCCCTTGCTTTATACACATTACTATATGTTCCTTGACCAATCTAAACAATGAAATTCACAAAGCAACATAAGTAATTACGTAAGGACAAAAAATACTAGTAATAAATACATAAATGAGGTTATGAGAGGTTTAGATACCTTATCAATCTTCTCAAAAGAATCGGCACGGCGAGGAGTCCAGCCACTTATGGCTTCACCGGCGACGTTTGAGAGCCAAGACGGCCAACCGGCGGCAACTTGTTCGCCGTGGACGTGTCTGGGAGGATTACTCAATCGTGGATTCGGCCTTGAAGACCGTCTTTTCGCTCTTGCTTTAGCTGCGGCGGCGACAGCAGCTTCTTCTTCCTCCGCCTTCTCCTCGTCCACCCTCTGGCCGTTACTTCCATATCTAACAACCTCTTCTCCTTCCTTCTCCTCTCTTTTCGAAACCCTACCAACTTCTTCTTTCTTCCTATCTTCCCTACCTACCGGCCTCCCTGATACCTCTCTCCCAAACACACACCCCATAGTTTACTCATATCTCCTTTCCCTTTCCCTCACATTCCCACATTTTCTCACACTTTCTCTCCATCCAAACACAAAACCCTAAAAAGTAAAAAAAGAATAAAAGATTTTCCAGATATTAATTCAAAGAATGTTGTAATGAGATGTAAGTGACCCAATTTTCTTTATGAAAAAAAAAGGAGAAAAGAGAACAATGATTTTTTTAAAAAAAATATTAAGAGTTAAGTCCCACAGATTGTGGCACACACAGTCAACAAATTTCAGCTGATAACAGTAAAATTCAACAACCCTTTTTCCCCTCCTTTTAGATTTCAAGAATTTTCAATCAATTTAACTAAAGATGTTTGGATCTCTACCTACTTTCTGCTTTTCAGTTTTTTTAATATTTATTAATTTATTATGCTTAAAAAATTTAAAAATTAGTTTAATTTAGAATTAAAAACGATAGAAATAGATTTGATCTAAAATATTATAAAAAATTAATTATTTTAAGTTGAATGTAAAATGAAATATTATATTTCTTCAAAATATTTTTTATTAAAACCTCAAATATCACCAAAAAATAATATTTTGGTTATCAACAAAAAATGTTATGAAAAATATAATACTTTAGATTTAACCAAAAATATTATACATTTTTTTAATATTTAAAAAAAATAATATTTTAGATTTCACCCTATCTAAAATATTAAATTTTTTATAATATTTTCAATTGCGTTAATTTTTAGTATTAAATTATTAGGATTTACAGAATAATTACCCTCTTGACTCTCTTTCAGAAATATGAAAATTTTCTTCTTTTAGGGGTTAATTATCTGCGGAGATTCGGCACTGTGACCAATTATAATCTGCCACGTTGTGAGAGAATGATTGTGAGTTTTCATGCGGGGTTTAGGTTATGACGTGTAAGGATATTATTGGACTAAAAGGTGGTGGATAATGTAGTGGGTCCCACAGGACACTGGTGTCTCTTGATTTTGTTCCTCTTTCTGGTGGAGTCCTTGGCCCCGTGCTTAACTGAGGGGCATCCAATCCTACAATGAAATTTTAACACGTGTTTTATTAAAGAAAATCTTTTTTCAATTAATTTTAGATAAATATAGGATTATATTTGTTAAAAGATAATTATTAATCATTTAAAAATAAACGCTCGTACCTCTAGTATCATTAATACTCTAACTTAAGACTTCAAAGAATAATAATAATTTTTTATTATTGAAATCAATTATTTCATAAAATAAAGAGAAAATCGCCTCAGTGACCAAAAAAAAGTTATAATATACGATTTTAACCAACTTTTTTTGGATTTGCCAAAATGACCAACAAAATCGCAACGCGAAATAAAAATCGCAACGCGATCCCCAGAATCGCAAATCAGTGTCCAAAATCGCAACGCGATTCTTGAAAATCGCAATGCGATAGTCAAATTCGCATTGCGATTTTCCAAAATCGCAACGCGAATATGAAAATCGCAACGCGAACACATAAATCGCAATGCGTATCCGTAAATCGCAACGTGTATCCGTAAATCGCAACGCGTATGGGTAAATCGCAATGCGTATCCGTATATCGCAACGCGTATCGGTAAATCGCAACGATAATACATAAAATCGCAACGCGTATCCGTAAATCGCAACGCGATATTTAAAGCGCCATTATAATCGCTACGCGTATTTTATTTTCAAATTACAAAAACGAATATTAAGACAAATTCCCGTAATCGCAACTCATAACCTAAAACCTAAAATCACAACTCAGTCCCATCTCCATCTCTCACTCTCTACGGCGAAGAAATCCGTCCCCATCTCCGAAGATTTCCGTCCCCATCTCCGGCGAAATCCCTCACAACCATTCACGGTCAGAAATCCCTCACAATATTCAGAAATGGAAAATCAACCTCCGAGGGTTAGTTTTTTTAATTATTTTTATTTTGAAATGTTTGCATTATTGTAGGTTTTTCATATTGAAACTGATGATAAGTTTACTGGTCATTTCAATAATAGATTAACCATTTCACTTAGATTTCATTTCGCGTTACGATTATCTCGTTGCGATTTTCATTTCGCGTTGCTATTCTCTCGTTGCGATTTTCAAGTTAGTATTTGTCTTTGTCTTTGTTCTGTCTTTTGGTTGAAGTAATGCAATCCATTCAAGTTTCAATTTGCAGAAGAGTCGCAACGAGATAAATGAAAATCGCAACGAGAGAATGACTGTCGCAACGTGAAATGAAAATCGCAACGAGAGAATCGCAACGCGAAATGAAAATCGCAACGAGAGAATCGCAACGCGAAACCAAAATCGCATTGCGATTTTTATTTCGCGTTGCGATTCTCTCGTTGCGATTCTCTCGTTGCGATTTTCATTTCGCGTTGCGATTCTCTCGTTGCGATTGTCATTTCACGTTGCGATTCTCTCGTTGCGATTTTCATTTCAACCAAAAGACAAAACAGTGTTGCAAATTTTAGTTTCAAGAATAAACTACTACTTTTTATGTTTATTGTTTTTGGTATATCTTCACAGTGTAGTTTTTGGTATATCTAACTTGGTATGTTTATTGTTTTTGTAGAAATTTTTTCGGCTCAATTGACCTTGAGAAATAAAGTCAGCCTGGCCACTACAATTGCTTCGAAGCTTTCACCTGCTCAAAGACAATTGTTTGAGGAAACCTGCTTCGGGCCATGGCTGAGAGTACAGCATCCGGGTGGAGATGCTAATTTGACCCATTTGTGGCTTCAGACCATGACATCAAATCTACCCGACAGTATACAACGTGGTGAGGAAGAGATATGGTTTCATTTTCCACCAGCGTATACTTGCTTTGGGCGGAAGGAGTTCTGCTTAATCACTGGTCTACGATTCGGACACGATGATGTAGGCCGGTACACTCGTCATATCGCCCGCCCATCATGGTTATCCCGGGTTTTTCCGGATGAGTCAATGGAGAAGCCGAACCTACATGTCGACGACCTGAAGAAATTGTTTAATAAGAAAGCTGGTTTCACTCGGATGGATGACGTCGATGTTGTCCGAGTATGCCTTCTACTACTTGTGTATGCCGGCTTTTTAGGCAGAGAGGCCAGACAACCTATTCATCGGGAGCTAATAATATTGGTAGAGGACCTGAATGCATGGAATCTGTTTCCGTGGGGTTCGTATATATGGAAAGCTACCTGGACTAAGTTGTCGTCTGCCTTTGATGACCGCAAAAGTTTGCGGGGCGATGGGTCCAAATACACTTTGTCAGGCTTTGTTTGGGCCTTTAAGGTAAGAATTTCTATATAATGTTTCTAAAATTATAATTAATTATTTAACAATTACTAATTTTGTTATTATATTGTTTGTAGATTTGGATATTCGAGGCTTTCCCCAGCATGCGTACATATGCAATAAAAACGTCAAATGATATTCCCAGGGCTATTTCCTGGAAGAGGAAAACTCTGTTGGATTGGGAAGACTTAATACCATATGCGACAATAAATAATGTAAGTTAACACAAATACTTTCATATAATATATAAACAAGTTATTAATAGTAGACGTTTAACTTTGTTTGAGTTTTTATATTTTAGGAGGCCAACATTCCATTACAAAGACTGACACCCACGGAGGAAGAGCTTGCCACTGATTGGTGGCAAGCTAGTCAGAGTTTTTTTGATGGCACGGATGATGAGCAGCATCCACTTCCTCCAATTCGAGAGCCATCACCTCACCTAGAGCCATCACCCGATAGACCCGACTATACACCTCTAGAACGAGAGACATCACCTATCCCGTCACATCATCGAGCCTCTTCTCCACCATCACCTCATGATAGGCGACCGGCAAAGATGCCACGACTCCTATCTCCCTGTTCTCCACCTCCACCTCAACGGGATGAGTCAAGGGAGTTACGTGATGAGGTCAATGCCTTGCGTGAGGAGATCGGTACTCTACGCGATAACGATGGTGCATGGCGTGTGGAGGTGTCAACTTTACGTGGTGAGGTTGCCGCTCTACGTGAGATGATAGTATCGTTGCAGAATGAGGTTCATACTCTACGCAACGAGGTAAGTTTAAGATTTTCCATATTTAACTTAATGATAAATTTACTCGTAATTTCACTTAGATTAGCCATTTCACTTAGATTGCTTAGTAAATTTATTCGGTTGCTGCCAATTCTGCTAAACTGTGTATTCTTTAACACTGTGAAATAGTATTTGTCTTTGTTTTGTCTTTTGGTTGAAAGTAAATTTGTTCGGTTGCTGCCAATTCTGCTAAACTGTGTATTCTTTAACACTGTGAAATAGTATTTGTCTTTGTTTTGTCTTTTGGTTGAAAGTAAATTTGTTCGGTTGCTGCCAATTCTGCTAAACTGTGTATTCTTTAACACTGTGAAATAGTATTTGTCTTTGTTTTGTCTTTTGGTTGAAAGTAAATTTGTTCGGTTGCTGCCAATTCTGCTAAACTGTGTATTCTTTAACACTGTGAAATGGTATTTGTCTTTGTTTTGTCTTTTGGTTGAAAGTAAATTTGTTCGGTTGCTGCCAATTCTGCTAAACTTTGTATTCTTTAACACTGTGAAATAGTATTTGTCTTTGTTTTGTCTTTTGGTTGAAGTAATGCAATCCATTCAAGTTTCAATTTGCAGAAGAAGAAATAGTTTACTTTCGCAACACGAAACTTAAAATCGCAACGCGAAACCAAAATCGCAACGCGAAATGAAAATCGCAACGACAGAATCGCAACGCGAAACCAAAATCGCAACGACAAGATCGCAACGCGAAACCAAAATCGCATTGCGATTTTCATTTCGCGTTGCGATTCTTTCGTTGCGATTTTCATTTCGCATTGCGATTCTGTCGTTGCGATTTTCATTTCGCGTTGCAATTTTGGTTTCGCGTTGCGATTTTAAGTTTCGTGTTGCGAAAGTAAACTATTTCTTCTTCTGCAAATTGAAACTTGAATGGATTGCATTACTTCAACCAATAGACAAAACAAAGACAAATACTAACTTCAGGGTATTAGTTTGAAACATATTTTTCTTTGTTATCTGATGCATTTTGTGAACTATGATAGAATAATGACTTGGGTGAATACAATGCAAGTTTGAAACATATTTGTCTTTGTTTTCACTGTTTAAATATCATGTCTGTTTATTTACTGATTTTTGTATTTAATTATTTAGCGGCCCGATAGAGTGGATGCTTTACGTCGGGTTATGCTTGCACGACGGTGTTCACGCATCAGACAGCGTGCACGTGCTATTAAGTCTCCGTACACCCCAATAGTGCGAAGACACCGCAAGAA